ACAATTGGAAGAAGGCTGCTTGTCGAGGGTTTCGTATGATGTGGTTTATCCATCACTCTTTCGGAATCCTAACGGCCAATATGTTTGTGAAGCTATTCTCGACATTCGTCCGACCCCACCTGGAATATTGTATACGGGCTTGTCCACCATGTCTTAACCGAGATAAAAATGGACTTGGAGAGGGTGTTACGAGTGGGCACTCGGTTAGTGCAGGGTCTACGGGGACAGACGTATCCTGAACTCTCACTTGTCGTATTTTGACGGGTAAGCTCGGCTATTTAGTCTCGCTACGTTACCTAGTCTCCGCAGTCACCCACTGAAACTGCATAAACCACGGTCTGATAGGATTAGGACGGAAATTCGTCTATCGCGCCGAGTTATAGATCGCTGGAATTCGCTTCCAGATCAGGTGATTAGGGAACCTACGGTTAAGTGTTTTGCGCGCCAGCTCGATGCTCTTGGGTGGCAAAAGCAAACCTTTCCTTTTTCCTGACTGTCTCACCTTCACTTTTCAGTTCCTTTTTATTGACTCAAATATCTTGGTATTCTACTTGCTTAGCTCTTTCCACTTTCTCTTTCGCCTTCTGAGTTTACTTTTTACTTTTTTACTTTACGTAACCGGCCCAGCAGGGACTGCTAGGGCGGGATACGTGGGCATTAATTGGTTGGACAGTGTGTGATGCGGTCTTTGTTTTAGGTCCATCAGTATTTCAAAGTTCGCCAACTCCTGGTTCAACGACCCGTCGAAGAAGGAACACTCACGGGATAATCCTATCGTTCCAGTCCCGCTTGAACTCGACTCGAATCATCCTCCTGTCATGTGTGGGCGCCCTGGCGGTGCCCTAGCCCAAACCCCAACCAACCCCAATTACGCCAATATTAATAATAATAATAACAATGCAATGCTCCACCGGCCGTCATGTATTGGCACTAGGCTACCTTCTCTGCTACGTACCGCCTTGGTGGATAAGCGAAAGCAAGCTATCGCTGACGCCACTCTTCTTTCTTCTTCCCTTTACACGCTCTCCCCGTTCCCGTTTCCCTTAATCCCTTAATTTTTCTAATCCAGGTGACCATACGCACGATTAACCGGCACCTCAATCGTATGTCTCCGCGCAAAGCGCTCAACATCTGGTGCTGGAACGTGCCCACACTATATGACCGGAATGCGAATGAGCGTCCCGAGCGACGCACTGCACTGCTCGCGATGGAACTCGCTCTCTACGAGATCGACATCGCAGCACTCAGTGATACACATTCCCGCTGAGCTAGGGAATCTACATTGAGGTTGGTGCTGAGTACACCTACTACTGGGCGGCGAACACCACCACAGGACCACGTGAACCTTGGGTCGGATTTGCACTATCGGACTGCCTACGTGGACAGCTGGTGGCAGAACCGGCTGGCATTAGCTTAGGACAGGTGTCTCCTTACTTGCCACTTGGAAGAAATTTCGCTACTTTTATTTGTACGTATGGTCTCATCGTGTGTTATCCTGATGACACAAGGGATCATTTTTACGCTCAATTATTCTCCGTGATACTGTCTGGTTGATTTCGATGCATGCATTGTGCATGATGCAGCACTGTGGCCAGACGTAATTGGTCCCCATGATATTAGCACAACCAATGTGAACGATGATCGGCTGCTTTCACTTTACTTCACTCAGTCTGACAATGCCAAACACAAATTTTTCACTGGGTACGAGTGGTATAGCTACTTGGACGTAACGACGGAGTGCTCACGCTCACCTGCTGTATTATGTCATCGTACGCCATCGTGACATGAGTGATGTGCGCATGACACGTGCACTGCGTGGAGTTGTGTGGCACTGACCATAAGTTAATGCAGGCAAATTGTGCATATATTTTCGTAAATCTATGTATTGCACTCCCGCCGTGAACCGGCGTAAATTTAACCTTCTCTGCCTCGGTACTGGAGCGAAACGTATTGAGCTGGAGAAGGCGATGGTTGCACTCCTGTGTGATGTAGACTGCATAACCACAGTGGGCGACCTGTGGCACCACATTCGCGACCAGATGACAGCTGCTGCCGAGGAGATCATCGGGCGCGCAAACTGTAAGCGGCCTGATTAGTTTAATGAGGACAATTTGGCGATTGGGGCATTGGTATCGGAGAAGAACAGAATTTGCTGCACATGTGGCAGACCCCAGTGACTTGGGGAAGAATAGTCAGTTTCGCAAACTTTGACGGCGACTGACTCGAGAGCTCCATGACATTAAAAATGCATAGTGAACGGAAAAAGCGAAGCAGATGGAATGCTACGCCGAACGCCGCCAACACAAGGAATTCTTTGACTCCTTGAGGGCGGTGTATGGACCGAGATTGGAGCCGCTAAGAACGCTGATGGATGGTAGTTCAGGTGCTACCTGCATGTAGACTGCAGACATAGTGCAGATCTTGCAAAAACGCTTTGACTTTCTTGAACAACCGTTCAGCGATCGACTGGCCTATAGTGAACGGCCTGAGGCAGCATGATGTGAAGGCGAGTCTGGCGGACACGCCGACACTGGATGAGACGCAGAGAACACTTGCTCAGCTGCGAAACAGCAAGTGTACTGGGGCTGACGGGATCCCGCCTGAAGTATTGAAACATGACGGACCCGCGTTGGTGACTGCGCTGCACCACTTGGTGCAACGTGTATGGATTGACGAGGAGATGCCTCCTGAACTGAAGGATGCTCTTGAGCTACCACTGCACAAGGGCAAAGGTAGCAAGCAATGTTGTACGAATTATCGTGGCATCAATTTACTGGGTTGTGTGGGCAAGGTGGTTGCCCGAATCATGCTCAACCGCCTCGTCAATCAGGTTGTGGAACCTAACGTGGCGGAAGAGCAGTGTGGATTCCATTTGGGTCGCAGCACCATGGATGTGATGTTTCTGGTTCGTCAGTTGCTGGCGAAATGCAAGGGGTGACACCAATAATTGTAATCACTAAATGTTGGCCTCACCAAGGCATTTGACACGGTGAACCGCGAGGCACTGTAGTGTAGATGTTGTTGGGTAAGTTTGCTTGTCTGAGCAAGTTTTTAAGTTTGATTGTGTGTGCACATTTGTACGCGGGCGAGGGTGTAGCTTTATGAACAAACCGTGGATGTCATATATATATATATATATATATATATATATATATATATATATATATATATATATATATATATGGAATAGAGTACAGGTAGACATTTATATAAGGAAAAGCTGGCTGGCTAGCCGAACAACCTCCTCGTGGTGTCAGCTGGGTGGTTCGGGTTTAACCCGTTCCAGCAAGTAGTTCGGCGGCAGTGTTCCAGGACGTGGTGGGTTTCGCCTGGCAAGCGTTCTCCCTATAAAAAGCCACAAATGTCTGCTTAACAACACTGTGACGTGGCGGTCGTGACTCGCCACAAAATAAAGTCACTGCCCCGTGGATATCCTGATAATTCTCTCCAACTCACGGACGCCAATCTTCTACTCGCATATTGATGACAATATCAAACATTGAAGATTGGAGCAGCACAACTACAAGCACAAAATACACAGCTACATACACCTACACACACAATGACATACATACATACCCCCTACACAAACATAAACTGCTATGGCAAACATATCGGAATTTTGCACATTCTTGATCATGCATTGTATTTTCAAATTGATCATGCCTGTAAAGGCGTGCCTCACCTTGTTGAGAATAAAAGATTTATTTATTTATTTATTCATTAAGGCAAAATTGAAAACCCACCAACTGAAATAAAGAGACTTAGCATGCAAGCACGCGGTTAGTAATTCGAATGCAGCGTACCTACAAACACTGCGCCGGTTCTGAATACTTCTCTGCAGGACCCGTCGTCGCTTCTGTAGTAGTCACGAGAGGCCACGCTCATGGCTCACTAAGCCTGCCTGACTAAGGCACTCGCGACCGCATGTTCTACAGCACCATGCGCTTGATGTCGATGGAGTACAACACATCGGTGCTTGCCGCTTCCGCACTTGCCGCTTCTTCTCTGCATGCATGAGGGCTTTCTCCTGCACCTCGGCAACTGCCTTCGTGATCAGATCACACCATGCACGCCGATCAACCGCCTTTAATACCCATGATTTGCAATCAAGATTAGAACGTGTGAGGCTCACGTTAATCATGTCCTGGTATCGTAACTTTGGTTTCCCCACGTGCCGCTTCCCAATACTCAGTTGACCATATAATAGCTGCTTCGGTATCCGCGTCGAACCCATACGGCTCACATGACCGATCCACCACAGGTGTCTCAGTAAAAGTATGCAGTCCACTGCATACATCCCACTTCGGCGCAAGAGTTCCGTGTCTGCAACTCTGTGGCCTCAGCCGATGCGCAAAATCCGTCGCAGACACTGCTGATGGAACCATTCGAGATATCGCACATCCCGCCGCTACATAGTCCACGTTTCACGGCCGTATAGAAGAACGGACAGCACCATGGATTTGTACACCATCAGCTTCGTGCCAACGGTAAGCTGATGGTTGTTCCACACTCGGTACTCAAGCTTCCCGAATGCTGCCGCTGCCTTCGACACGCGGATACGCAGCTCACTCTGTAGCTGCTGATCAGTCGACATCACACTCCCAAGGTATCAGAAGCGGGAGGTGGTTTCCAATACTTCAGCACCAATGCTGCTTCGCGGCAATATTGACGATCGCACCTCCGGAGAAGGCTGAAAGAGACAGACAGTTTTGCTTGTGCTGATGGTGAGCCCGAATTTGGCCGCTGTCGAAGCCAGAGCACTAGTCACGTGCTGCAACTCATCCGCGCTGTGTGAAAACAACGCACAGTCGTCAGCAAACAGCAACATACGGATAGTTGTCTCACAGACTAGAGTTCTCGCATCGAAATGACGGATATTCAACAACCCATATATATAAATATATACTCGGGTTTGAGAGCACCCTTCGCTTGTTCATTTTTTCCTTTTAAACACTCCATATCCGCATCTAAACTTTACTTCTTTCGCAGATCCATCAATGGAGGTAGATACTGTTGCGGATATTCCTGCTGTTGCTTCTTTTCCGGGAACTGTGACGGTCCAGCTTCATCCTCTGGTGATATTGAATATTTCTGAACACTGGACACGCAATAAAGTTAAACATGGCTCCTCATTGGTGGTAGTCTACGGTGCTCTACTTGGTAAACAGGAGGGACATCTAGTCGAAGTAGGTAACTCTGGTTCATTTTGCTTTCCATAGATTACCAACTCGTTCGAGCTTCTTCTGGATGAGCCACACCTGACTATCAACTCAGAATTTTATGTTGCTAGAGAATCTCAGTGCAAGCAAGTTTATCCTGAATTGGATGTTGTGGGTTGGTATGCTTCTGGCGGAGCAATTACCGAAAACGACGAATTGTTCCACAGACAGGTATTCTTTTGATGGTCTTTATCTTTGCTTTAGATGCAAGAGTTCAATGAGTCCCTTCTGATTTTAAAGCTGGATCCACTCCAGTCTTGTACCGAACAGCTGCCTATTCGGGTGTATGAATCTGTTGTCGACAATGATGGACGGATACATTTTAGGCAGATAAGTTACTTTCCTTACCATATTTCGCACCCATCTGGTTGGCTTAGCTTAACCTGTTGTTAATTATCAGAATTCTTCTATTTGTCACTATTTTTTTATTTAATAATGCTGCACTGTGATTGATTGAACATGCTTCCTCTGTCTCTACCGTACCTAGTCGTTTCAGGTAATCAATTGTGGCTAACTACTGTTGTTCAGAACCTGGGACCTTTGCTGGAACACTGTAAACCAACGATGCAATTGTCTTGAACACGGTCCCACTGGTATACATCCTCAGTATTTACTGCAACAGACAATTCATCGTCATCATTATGCACATTAGCTAGAGATGGATAACACTTCAGCTCTTATGCCGCAATACATGAGCAAATAAAAACACCTGCAACCGAGGCGCGCCAGCTGAGCCACCAGTAACGGGTGGGCGTCGTTCCGGAAAGCCGCCAGCCAGTATCGTGCCGCTAAAAAATAACAATTATATTATACAAAACTTATACTATGCTGCGAAATGAGGTCGCGGTTTGAGGGAGAAGCCAAGTGGGAGGGCGAGGGACAAAGAAGCTCACGATGCAAACTCCGTTGAGGTCGACTCCTTGCCATATCGGCAAATGTATCCAGCCAGACGTGTTCATTGTCTTCCGGACCCCAATCAGGGTGCCGAAAGGCTCCAACCGGCGCCACCTTCGAACTAAAGACCTTCATTCCTCTTGTACAAGTCACCCCTTGGCCATCTCTTTTCCTCTTTCATCCACGCCCCGGCGCGAAAACGACACACGTCGCAGGAATCAGTGTGCTAGCATGCGCAACATGTGCCCACGCCATCGTACTCTAGTGCGTAAAATACTTCTGCTGAGCCATTCACTTGCTCTTCCTGTGCCATAAACAAGGCGTCGAACACACTCATCGCTCACGCGCTGTTCCCACCATGTATGAGCCAAACTGCCAAGACGCCGGTTGTCGAACGTAATTAGCCGATTTAACGCACAAGCTTTCACAACCGTATGTATGGTCGAACGTACGACTACATTGTATTCTCTACCCTTCAGGGAGAGACTGATTTCGCACCGTCGCCATAGGTGGCAAAGATTAGCAAAAGCGCCTCGAGCTTTTGCTTTATATTTTGTGACCTTTCCGATTCCACAGGCCCCGATACAATCGCCTAGGTAGTTAAATTTCTCAACAGCTTTTAGCTGATTCCCACCAAGCGTCAGCGCAAGAGGCGGTCCTTGTTAATCTTAAAGATATACTTTGCACTTCGATGGTGCAAAATATTATCATTTGTTTCGGAAGGATCGTCTTCGCAAACGCGGTAATGGCTGTGCCTTATACATTCACCATGGCATAATAGCATTATCTGCTTGCCAGTTAGCCTTTAATGCTTTAGAAGATTCATCATGGTTCACAATTCTGCCTTCTCCATATCAACGATCCGTTGCATCCACCAGGCCTCGTGGTCCTCCCTGAGGATCTGTTTGAGTTCAGTTAGTGGTCCTGCGTAGTGAATGATACTCAACACCAGGTGGAAGTGCCCGACGAGCTTGGAGAAGTTGGAGGGATCGTGCAGATCCGGTGATTGACAGGACTACTGGTGAAACCACAGACCAGGGTCGCAGAGTTGTGCATGGCGCTGCGGATGTGTGCCCAGTGCGTTTCAACGTCAGAGCATGAGGCGCTCCTGTGATTTGAGGCCAACGTATCCTGTAATACGCCGAGAACGCCTGGGGCAGAAAGTTTGGCTACGTCAAACTGTTTCCGGCGACGCTGTCGGGAGCCACCAAAACGTAAAGCAATCTTGGCACACACGTGCACTTGATCCGAAGTGAGGTACGTACTCCAGATTGATTTGCAATCCTGTATGCGACCTATCAACGGTAACTGCTGGTGATGTGATCAATCTGCGTCCATGGCTGGTTAGGTGACGGAGGCCTCCAGGTCGCGCGTTGCCGCCAGGATCGCCGAAAGCTAGTACTTGACAGGAAGAGCCAGTGATCGGCACAAAGCTGAAGTAGGCGATCACCGTTGCCTGTTCTGCGTGTGCCATCGCCATGTTGACTACCGAGTTCCCGCTCTTCAAATGCAAGTCTACCGACCTATGCGTTTAAGTCCCCTGCAAGCACCACAATGTCTGTACGGCGCTTTTTTCGGATAAGTTCGGACAGTTGACAGTAGAACTCGTCTTTAACTAACTCCGGACCGCAGTCTGTGGGAGCGTACGCTACTACCACGAACAAGCAACGTCTGTTAGCCCCATGGCTGGAAAATCGCACTGAGGTCTCAAGTGGGATAGCGCAGAGGCAACTGTTGACAAGGATCCAGTCAAGTAGCGCGGCCTCATCACCTGTGCTTAACGCAATTCCCTCCCCGGCAAGACCAGCGGCTTCGGCGGTTTCGTCTCCAGATAAGCGCAAGGTGAAAATGCCAGTGGAACTCGCAGATGGCGAAACCAGTCGTAGCGTCGTGCTAGGGTCCTGTAATCGGGTTTCATTGAGGCAGCAGACATCAATGGCAGTAGTCTCAAGCGTGCGAGCAAGGGCTGCTTGTGATCCGATCTGCATCAGCGTCCGAACGTTAAAAGTTGCCAGCTTGAATTGGGAACGGGCCGCTAGAAAAGGTTTGCCAGTACTAATTGCCGGTACACCCTCAGACCTAGATTCCTGATCCGTATATCGAGAACACTCGCCCAAGGCGGATCGATGTTGTGGACTCGGAAACAGAAGGGGAGTACCAAGGATGAGGGAATTGAACAAACGTAGAATAAAGTAACCGAACTGTGGTGCGGTAGAGCGCGATATAGCATGTTCGGCCGCCAGCACCTCGGCCGAGGAAAGCGTTGGCAAAGACCAGAAAGAGATAGCAGGAAGTCGTCGAAACATTGGTCCATAGGTTGTGTGGGCATGGTACTTCTCGGTTGCCCAGGTCGGGGAAGAGGCTTGACTAAGGGGACCCCATCCGGCGCCTTCGGTCTAAAGACCTGACCCGCAAGGCAGCGGGGCGATCAACGTATGTTGCATACCTTTGGGAACCGGCTGCCATGATGATGATAACACGGCTTTCGAGCAGTAACAAATTGCTCAGGCTACCTAAGAAGCCCGGGTGAAGCAGTACGCAGACCAGGAGCAATTATCTAGACCAGCGTACTCGCCGAAGAGCATGAAGGTCGTTCACTGCCAGATGGCTCATACGCCTTCAAAGAAGCCGGTGTCTATCGAGGTAGTTCATCCGCCCTCCATTGAATATTCATTTCTAGTCGCAGAAGTGAGTGGTCAGTAAAATCTACTATACTTGCTTTATAGACCCCCTGCTACCACTCTCTTTAAGTCTTAACAGTTAATATCTGCCATTAATGCTGCTTCTATCACACCATACTAGTGGAGATTTCAATTGATCAAATATATGTTGTATGGCACATAGGTCTACAACAACTGTCGGACTTGTGGAACTAATCCGATGCTTTTGTATCCGTGGTTGGATTCAACACATTAGACAACATTTTAGACTGCCTCTCACCATGAATATTCCATCTGTTTACGTATTAATTGACGACCCATTAACAGTACGTGATCACAGTTCGGTGCTCTGCAGCATGAATATCAGTTTACCTGGCAAGTCAAGAACATTAAGGAAGCCAGTACCCTAACTGCACCTTATTAATTTGTACACATTTGACAAGTAGCTTAGGACCACGTGTTGGTCACGATACTTCTCCACAGGTGATTTGACTATAGCCACAGGCAAACTCGCGAAAAATATTACCACATATACGGACATTCTAGCACCTGCGGCCGATACAGATACTACTCCAAGGCTGAGAGCACTGCATCGCAAAACAACGACGTTGCCGCATTAATTCAAGTACTTGTAACCTTACTTAAACGTGAATATCAAATTCAACAGTCTAGGATTGCCGAAGAAAACCGATCCATCAGGAATTCCGAGTAAGCTCGTGTCATGATGCGGCTACTCAGAAGAACAAATTCGGAACGACGCCAGGAAATTTCAAACTTGCTTTTGTATGACGGTACGGCAACAGATAATATAATGCAAATATGTGAATCATTGAATTCCTACTTTGCCGCTTCGTTCATTACTGCATCATGTGGGTCCTACTCTAATTCCAACAACAATGGAATAGATCATCTATAATATCCCCCTGTCTAAAGAACATAGATGGCTTGCCGAACAACCTCCTCATGGTGTCAGTTAGGTAATTCGGGTTTTTCCCGTTCCAGCAAATGATTCGGCAGCAGTGTTCCAGGAAGTGGTGGGTTTTCGCCTGACAATCGTTCTCCCTATAAAAAGCCACAAATCTTTTTTTAACAACACTGCAGCGTGGCGGATGTGACTCGCGACTAAATAAAGTCGCTGCCCCTTGCCCCTCCTTGGGAGACATTGTACTTCAAGCGTGCATTGGGCCCCTGGTCCTTCACGGACCGAAAGGTGCATAAACCATATCTTTGGTCACCGGCTCCCCACGGATTGCGATGCCCTCACATCGCCCTGCTGCCGTGTAGGTTAGATCTTTGATCAAAGGCTCGGGGTAGGAGCCCCTAAGACAACCCTCTACTACGGCCTGGGCAACCGGGTAGTATCACGCCCACTGACAGATCGTGGCCACACTACTTACTACTGCTCTTGCTGTGCCTATCATCTCTGCTAACTCAACTGCTCAACTTTCACTCACAGATCACCCCACCTCCCGTCCTATATGTACTCTTAAGTCTTCTTCGGTCACCGTCACAAACGACCCACTTCTCGCAACTGAATGAAGTAGTAGTTAGACCCGGATTTCAATGTCCTGCGATCGCAACCGTCTCTCACTCCACCGAAAATCCAACTCTTCTTCGACCTCGTGCTCCATTCATCCTCGCAGCGTTTAATGTTCCAAATTTGATGCAGGTCGGACGACAATGATGTCTGGCCCGTACTCTTGTAATGCTCTCAGTAGGCATCTGTTGTTTTTCAGAGACCAGATTACAAGGCTCTGGCACCGTCATCAGAATGGCCTCTCCGGTAAACCCTGACGCCAAATACCACTTGCGGCTTTCCGGAGATCCAGAAGCTTCCGCCACTGGCCAAGCTGGTGTTGGGGTTGCACTGTGCCAGGGCTGAATCAGCTCTGCTTGACTGGATCCCAGTCAACAGTCGGCTATGTGCAGTCAGACTACGAGGTTCATGTGGCGTAAGCAGGCGTCGAGACGTTAAGCGTGCTTTGTTTGTCGTCTCCGCCTACGCTCCCTACAGACTGCAGCCCGGATGCGGTTCAAGATAGCTTTTACCAGCAACTACATGAACTTCTGCGTTCCTCCAAAAGGACTGATATAGTAATTCTTGCCGGGGACTTTAACGCACGGGTTGGCCGCCTTCCACCAAGCGAGCATCACCTTGGGGGTAGTTTTGGTCTCGGTGGCAGTCGATCAGACAATGGATACAGACTGATTGCTCTGATCATCGCTTGTTTCT